AGTAGAATAAATGTAGATGTAAATAGACATTATTTGCACTCATCCATTATAGAAAAGTTATGCTTTTCTTTCTTGTTGTTTTCTTTTTTTATCCTGTACACAATTCCGTCCACACCCCTTTCCCACTTAATCCCAAAACGATTCTCTCTCTCTCTCTCTCTCTCTCTCTCTCTCTCTCTCTCTCTCTCTCTCTCTCTCTCTCTCTCTCTCTCTTGTGTTGTTCATGGCTCTCCGACGCCCGTCCCCAGCTCTGCAGAGATGGCCCACTTGTCCCGCGAGCTACAGGAAGACATGAAGTTCAGGAGTAAAGACGACGGAGAGTTTTGGTAGGTTTTTGTTTGGAGTCAAGGGGGCTACTTACTTAAGTTGTCTTTTAGGCCATTCCCAAAGGGTGGATATTAACATGTTCGTTCTTATGCACAGTAGAATTGTAAATGGGCTGATTAATTAATGTCATGCTCATACTGTGCCGGAACAACATAGGGGGAACTGCTGATTTTGCTTTCCTCATCCTCACTATCGTCATTTTCCTCTACTTCTTTTGTATGTTTGTCACACTCTTGTGAACTGCTATTCCCAATGTGCTTTGATAGTCGAAGCAGATTTTGTTCTGTCGAGGCTAGAGAGGTGAGCAGAGTAAGCCTGATTCCCCATTTGGACTTCTCTATTGACACCCAGCCCTTGGCGCTCATATACCTTATGCAGTTGTGAGCGCCGTAAAACCTCACTAAAACAACAAACAAAACGGAATCATGGGTTTTTGCTATTATATGTATTGTTGTTACAGTTTTTTTGGGGTCGGAGCTAGTTTTGTTTAAAAAAAATTAGTTTTGAAAAACGTTTTAGTAAGAGTTCAACGGCACTTGGAACACAATAAGACCATATCATAAGCGCCGAAGATTAGAGGTGTGACAAGAGAGTAACAAACGTAAAAAAGAGGAAAGATGAGGACGATAGATGTTTGCTAGGAAAGTAGGAGCAAACCACACCAGAGCACCCGCCAACCACCGGCAGCTATTGTTATTGTTGTTTTATCTTTGTCATGGCAGCTGCTGGTGTTGTTGCAGTTGTCGTTCCACTTATTGTTGTTGCTGTCTTTGTTTGTTGTTGCTGTTGTTGCTGTTGTTGCTGTTGTTGTTGTTGTTGTTGTTATTGTTTCTGTTGTTGTTCCTGTGTTGTTACTGCTGCCGCTCTTGATATTGTCATTGCTGTTGTTATTGTTGCTGTTTTTGTTGTTTATGTCGATGCTGATATTAATGCTTTGTAGGTAAATAAATACCCTTCTTGAACATGATGTCGTTGTAATTGAAAATTCGCCTTTTCTGTTATGATCGTAATTTTTTACCTTACAATATTATGGATTTATTTGTGAATTTCTAAAAAAAGAATATACAAAAATTACTATTTCTTCAGGATGAGCTACTCAGATTTTCTCAGCAACTTTCAGGAGATTCAGTTGTGTCATCTGCAGCCCGATGCTTTCATCACAGAACTGGCTGACAACGAAGTAAGTATTACTGACAACAGAGAAGAGAGAAAAGGTAGTATTTAAAGTGATGATTTGGGAAAGTACGCCATTGCAGCGGAGAGGGGAGATAGATTAAAATTGGTGATTATTGTGGTAGCTTCAACATCAAAAGCGGAGTAAAGCAAGTTTTTGTCATAGCACCAACCCTTTTAGCTCTTATTTTGCTGTCTTACTGCAACACGATCCCAAAGTCACCAAGGGAAGTCTTCATCCACTGGAGGACTGATGGGTTGCTCTTCAATCTTGCTCGACTCAAGGAAAAGACCAAGATCAACAAAACAACTTTACGAGACCTTCTCTTCGCCGATGATGCTGCTCTTGTTGCTCACAGTGAATCAACCCTACAAACAATAATGGACCGCCTATCAACAGCATGCAAGTTCTTTAGCCTGGTCATCTCTGTTAAGAAAACAGTCATCCTTGCCCAAGAAGGTGAAGAGAAGAGCCACACATAGCTGAACGACAAGGAACTTGAGACAGTGGACAAGTTCTGTTACCTGGGGGTCTACCATAAGCTCTACTACATCATTTGATTATGGGATCAACATCAGTATAGAGGAAAGCAGCAACAACTTTTGGAAGGCTGACACAACGAGCATGGGAAAACAAAAGATTAACCATCGAAACAAATATCAAGATTTACGAAGTATGTGTCCTAAGCACACCCCCTTATGAATCTGAAACATGGACCATGTTCAGCAGGCAAGAAGAGCGCCTCGACATTTTCCATCTCAGATGCTGCCGCAAGATCTTAAGCATTTCGTGGCGTGACAAGGTTACGAATTTTGAAGTGTTGGTACGGGAAAACCTCCAGAGCATGGCAACTATCCTGTGTTTAAAAAGACTGAGATGGCTGGACCATGTCAAGAAAATGGACGACAACTGGATTCCGAGGCAACTTCTCTATAGAAAACTTGCCCAATGAAAGAGACCAAGTGGAAGACCAAAATTGAGGTACAAAGACACCTGCAGAAAAGCTTATCTAAGCTTGGAGTAGATGTTAGCATCTGGGAAGAAATAGCTAGGGACGGGAAATCAGGGAGGAAAATGATAAAGGAAAGAACTTTAATGCTAGAGAGCAGCTTTAGAAACAACCAGTCTGAGAAGCGCGAACAACGAAAGGAAAACAGCGGAAATTCAGAGCTTCGATCCACGACACTGACATGCAAGCACTACGACAGAATCTGCGCTTCAAACATAGGAAGAATTAGCCATGAAAGAAGCTGCATGGAGACGACTTTGAGACCATCTTAAGCTAAATTGACCGTCTGCATAGACGAAAAGAGCCATACATTGTGGTAGGGTGGGAGTGGGGTTGAAGCGTTGGTTTAGTTTGGAGATAGTTTATCCCAGGGGGGGGGGGGGGTGTTGTTTTTGTGGTGGAGTGATATGTGAGGCATCGTGGTGAAATCAGGCGCTCCTCAAAATAATGAAAGCAAACTGGCATCTTCCTTTCCGTTGGCAATTTTTATCGAATTTTTGTTTTTTGACTTTAAGGTTTATTTTAAAAAGACATTTCTGTGTGGATTTTACTGAAAAATGTTGATGTTAAATATTGATTTAAGGCACAAAGATTTAAATTTGTTGTTTCTAATTGCTCTCAAGTTTTGGAAGTTGTTAAACTTTGGCGGCCATTTTCTCGCTAATTTGACATCTGAAACCACCTCCTTCAATAGCGAATATCTCGACTTCTGTTCATGATATATGAATATTTGTTCACCGAAAGCAAGATAAATGAACAAGCTTGTCCAAAAGTTGACGAGCGCCTGATTTCGCCGCGTCATAACATGTAATATGTTATAAAATATATTATAAAATAGTGATAGATTGTCTGGGCTGATGGATGGGATGGATGGTTTGGATGTTCAGTACTGAGAACAGACGGT